TATATATATATATATATATATATATATATATAATGTTTCATTAATTTCGTTTTATTTAATTCTTTATGTTTGCAAGTTTTCATGTATAAACGCGTTATTTATTCGATTAATATATAAAAAAATATATTAAAAATACCTGTGTCGATAAAACACATTCAGAGAATAAAGGAAATCGTGTCATTAAAGTCTTTTTCAATTACATATTTTTTTTCTTAATTTATATTGCTTATAAATTCTTTCAGAATGCATCAAATTTAAAAATAAAAAAAAGTAAAATATTTATTAATATTAAATATTAATACACATGTTTTTTATTTATAAAAATTTGTTATAAAAAAGTGCTAAACAATGTTATAAAAAAGTGCTAAATAAAAAAGAAGAAGATAAAATAAAAATTTACGCAGTTTAAATTGTGATTCCGGAATATGCACATAAAAAAAAATATTATAAAAATTCGATAAATTAAATCTTAATTCAAAAAATAATTTTTAATAATTCTTTTCTGTATAAAGTAAAAATAAAGTAATATTCGACGCTAGTATATTTATAAATTTCGAACGTTCGATTTTAAAACGCCTTTTCTAATATAAATAAAATTTAGAATCAATCGCGATTCAGCCATCGTTTCGAGCGGTCGTATCGCCGCTCCGTGTCGCCAATTACAATATATTCCAATATATTTCTATAGAATTTAAAAATTTCTTTGATAAAAAAATAAAAAAATATTAAATTCGATCTCCAATAAAACAATACTCTTGAATACTCATAAATAAATATCTAAAGCGATTGGATTGATTCAACCAGTGAATCTTGAATAAATGGTGAATTAAAATCACGAATCTTTAACACACACTGTATAAATCGAGGTAAGGTTTCGTTATATTTCGATATATTTTCTTCGATACTCCGCGCTTTCTCGATACTTCTCACGTATTTAATAACCCGCGAACTGGATCTATATCCACGTCAACAAGATTTCATTTCGTGCACTTTATTTAATCCACGAGTTCTATCTATGCTCAATTTATGCTGATCCAGCGCAAGAACTTACTTTGGGATAATTCGATTTACAGCTTGACTCGATTAAAACTTGAGTTTCTACTTAATCGGAAGGATCGTGTGTTTTAATCGTAGATTCTTCGCTATTTTTATAATAATTTTTATACTTTGTAATTATCCGATTATTTTAAAATAATTTCAATTCGAAAAAAGGATAAAATAAAATTCTTTATTTCCTAATTCGCTTTTCGTATTTTATTTTCTCGAAATTTTATTCAATTTATATTTTCATCTAATATTCCGATTAATTCTCATGCATTACGTATTGATATATCGATTATCGTAAATAATATTAACATTTTACACATGATTTACACGTGATTTATAAATTTACCTTTAATCACTCCATTTGATAAGCAACGAAAAGAACAAAATTTGATGAATAATATTCGATTGAAAATTTGGAGGAACGATATTTCATGTATCAACCTAATAAAAATAAATCTCACGATAAATAAACGGCGCGAGATTGCTGCGCGAAATATTTCAATATTTCCAAGAAAACTCGAGAGATGATTTCTTTTTATCGACGATTTAATTGGCGAGAAATTATATCCGGTTGAAACAGAATTACCAGTTCATAGCAGACTCATTATATGACACGTACAGAAACTCCGTATATTCCTTGGAAATGGTCCGGGCTCAAGTCGTAAACTCATAAAATTTCAAAATTACTGACCAGGAAATTGCCTTCGTGCTGTCTAGGAAGCTATAAACGAAAAAATTTAATTTCCAAAACGTGAATAACCGCGTCCGTGTCGACTTTACGAGTTCGAGTTCCGCGAATGTTTCCCAGCCGCAAGAAAGAACAATTGGAAATTAGAATTAAGAGATCTCTGCCGTGAGATTCGCGATCGAAACGCGCTCTGCCCTTTTCGTGTCGAAACGGGATTTTCGTGTCACATCGCGGAGAACACGGGAACGATCACGTTTTTTATTTGCGGGAAAATAAACGGATAATAAACTCCTCTGGATGGTTTCAAGGGAACGATAGAATCGACAGTTTAACAGAAATGTAAAAGAATGTCCTCGAATCTGGGACAACATGGCCGGACTCGATACGAGAAAAATGCAACGGAGCCACGGATCTCGTCCCTCGTACATATACACGCCTGCCATTTTTTGCTTTACACGAACGTGTAAAGTTTCCGGCAGCGACGCCATATGCTCGAGATATTATTATTAGTTTAGTTTAGCAACATGCTTCTTGCCAGAACAGGGGAAAGGGGGTGGGGAAAAAAAGCAGCCGCAAAACGGGTGAAAAATATTTTTCCAACTTTCGTGCGTTTCTCTCTTAAACAACCCTCTCCTCGCGTCCGTCACCCTCTTTTCAACACTATCCCCGTCCGATTTATTTATTTTTTTTTTTTGCGTTGTCGTGTACAAAAAAAAAAAAAAAAAGAAAAGAAAGAAGAGGAAAAAAAAATGTACAAATTTCCGTGGAACACACACGCGGGGGAGAAAGTTTTTTAATATTCCCGCGCACCCTGTGTCGCTCGTATTAGCACGGGGAATACATTTGCGGCGGGTCGTTTCAAAAAAAAAAAAAAAAAAAAAAAAAAAAAAAAAGAAAAAAAAGAAAAAAGGAAAAAGTAGGGTTCAGGTTAGCGGCGATATTAAAAGGGTTACTCACCAACGACAGACCCTTCTCGATCAGCAGGCAGAGGCCTATGGGCACCGTGGAATCTGTAACAGGCAGAGAAAGGGGGGAGGAAAAAAAATAGAGATAGAAATAAAAGAAACATCGAAACAAGTAATTCAATGATTCCCACGGGCGAGTGAACGGAACGAAACGAAACGAAACGAAATTCCGGACAATCCGAGTCGAACTGTTCGTTGTCCAAACGTTTTTCGGAACGAGAAACTTTGAAAAGGGCGGTAACCCGGGCCCCCTCTGCAATTGGCTGCAGACAGCAAGTGACGAGGGTCTGTCACACGATGTGACGTTCTGCAGGCAATCGAAAGGGGAAGGGAAAGGGAGATGGATAGATGGAGGAGGAGGAGGTGGAAAGAGGGATGACAGGAGAAAACAGTGGCGCGCGAGGCGAAGGTTTGAGCATTGAGGATAAACGTTGCTGGTGATCGAGAACCCCGTTGGAATTGTTGGAAGGGATAACAGAGCACACGTATAGGCGGATACGTGTAGCTAGGGGGGAGGGAGGAGGGGAGGGGAAAAAAAAAGATAGAGGAAAACCGATATCGAGCTAACAGCGACGAAAGGAACTCACCGATAAATCAGCTAAAATAGCACTGGTTACAAAACGGAAACTCGATCGAACTTGTCCTGAGTTTGTACAAAATAACACAAAGAACGCATAGATCTTGAATTTTTTTGGCTTTGATAATAGACAAAATTCAGAGAAAATTCAGAATTTTGAAGAAAATTCTAAAAAGAAAAAAAAAACGCGTGTGTTACGTTATGTTACATATTAAAAGAAAAAAATTAAAGTTTAAAGATTTTTTAAATGAACATACAATTCGAAAACTCGAAATGATTATTAATATTTGAAAATATAAATGTAAGAATTAATAATTCATAAATGACAATTTACAATTAAATATTTTAAAAGTAATCGTTTGAAATCATTTTAAAAAGATATTTCATACATTTTTAAAATGTATAACGGAATTTAAATTTTGTAGACACTTTTAAGGAATCGGTGTGAATCAAACTTAAGAGGAATAAAAAAGAGATACGTACGCGATTATGCAGGATATACTGTTGCGCCACGGTTGTCTGGCCAGTAATGAGCCGTGACTACTGATCTTTTAATCTTTCATTCACCGCTCAAAAAGAACATTCTTATGCATAATTCCCTTCTAAATTTCTAACCTTTTCTTTCACTCTTTGCTCTTATTTCGCTTACTTTTATTATTTCTCGCCTCTTTCTCTTCACTCTGCAATCTCACTTTTATGGCGGCATAAGCTTTTTATGAAAAACAAAAGAGCAAAAAAAAAAGAAGAAGAAGAAAAATAAAAGAAAGATAGAATATATACAAGTAGAATTTTACTTGATAAACCATAATTAATATCTCTATCTTTTATGTCGATCGAAGCTAATGGAAAATCAAATAACGAAAAGATTTCAAATCTTTAAAACTAAAACTTCTCGAAAAACACGATAATTCCACGTGATGATTCCACGTCAATTGGAAATAAAATACAAATTTTATCTTCGATCCGTTTCTCTATCGTCCCGTAACTCTCCCTCCAGAAGAACCGAGCCAAAAACACTTTGGTAGATTATGCAAGGATTCGCCTCGTGATAGCGCAGGTACGAGTACGTACGATTTCATTCCGTCCTCATATTGTTCGAAGTATCGTCCGTCCCGGCCAGATAAAATATGGCGAAAGTTAAATAACTTTAAGAGATGCAACCGCGCGATAGGCACACTTGGAAAATTGAGGATCGCAAGATTTCCACCACCCCTGCAAATCGGGTCTGGGGCTTTAAAACACGGCAACCGTTTTGTAAAATGAAAACGGCCCTTGCGCAACCGGAATATCAACGGTGAATTAAATCCTCCCGACGTTTTAATTATGATTAAAGCGTATTATGATTCTTTGTATCGGCTTCGTCGATACAGCTGATTACACGCTGTATCAATCCGTGACCAACCGTTTCGTTCCATAATTACGTATCATACGATATTAAATCGTTAAAAGAAAAAAAAAAAGAAAAAAAAAGAGTTCGAAAAGAGCGATGGAATGGCTATGGTTACACAAGCTTTGAATCGATTTCATTTCAATCCAGTCTCTCATGAAAGAGAACGCGTAAAACGGATAATTAGGAACGAATTAAACAACAATTAGAGGGATTCTCGGCGCGGAATTGAAAACAGGCGTGAATCCTTTTGCTACTTTACGGGAATGCAAATCAACAAGGCGATATCCATCATCGAATTCACACCGGCAACGGGTGTCAAAGAAGTGACGTTTGGAAATTGAAAGAGCGTATCACACGGCCGATGACGGTGTACAGGTAATATCTCCGGCTCAACTTCCCCCAATTTCCGATTAGTCACCTGCGCGTCGAGATCGAAATCGATTCGACGCTTCCTCTCTATTTCGTTTGATTAGTAACAGACAGGCTATATAAACCGATATCATCGCCTAACACTTGTTTCCAATGCCACGTTAAATATTATTTTGAACAAACAATCGAGACGCATACACATCTCTCTCTCGATATAAACAGGCCCCAGATATATACTCGCGTTCCATTCAAATATTTACACGTGCGGTTACCTTGATCGCGCCGCGTTAACTCTTCGAATCAATCGCTTTTCGATTCGTACGTACGGATGAAAGAAATTCGCGTATCGAAATTCGATTTATCGGGGAATCAGAAACGTGCGAGAGCGAAAATATATATTTCGGTCAACTGGATAATGCGCGATTCCTCCAGTCGATATTTAATTCAACACAGATACTATATATATATATATATATGTTCAAATGCATCATTGAGATATTCGAACTTGTTACCATCACGTGGAGCGCACACGATTTTCGATTGACCCCTCTTTCGACGTTTTGATTTTGGAAAAGAAATTCAAGAGGCGAGGATTTCGTAAAAGCGATACGAATAAAAAAAGAGGAAGGGGAGAGAGAAAAAGAAAGGAAGGAAGGAAAAGAAAAAAGGAAAGAGGAAAAAAAGGAAAAGTGAGAGAGGGGCAACGATTGTTTCACTATGATCGACACGTGTTCCCTAGCTCGACTAATTACGACCTCTTTGAATTCGTACGCGTTTTACGAGTTTCCAGCATTTTTCTGGCCCGTACCGATATTCGTACACGCGTTTTCAATTCACGCGCTTGAATTACGCGCACGTGCGCCCGTCCGCACGGAACGAAGACAAATAGACTTGANGAATCAAATGCGTTGCATTAAGCTAAAGAGACGTGAAAAAAAAAAAAAAAAGTTAGATTAATTATAGGAAAGTCGATTAATACAATAAATAGCAGTCTCGTGTTTCGTCGTGTTATATTTTATCGGAGGGGTGAAAGTCCGCGGGACGCACAATCGAGGAGGATAAATTTCTCTTGAAACGTTCGATAAATTCGTTGAAATTATTACGAGTGTGCTTCATCATACGTAAAAAAAAAAAAAAAAAAAAAAAAAAGAAAATTATTTCGAAAGAGATGCACCTTTTAGAGATAGCTTTTGTTATTTTGTACGAAATATACTTTTTCCAAAGGTAAAAACTTCAAACAATATACATTACGCGTTTTTTAGATTTATCCCCCTTCCCCTCCTCCACCTCTCTTCCAACACGTTCGAAACTTTTCGCCAACATTCGTCGAATATTTTCACGTTAACTTTTCATAATCATTTCGATCGAATTGAATTATTAATAACGAGATGAAATATTTTAAATTCATTCTCTTGAAATAATCACCGAAAGAATGTGTCTGTTATCGTGTTATTAATAAAGAAGTTCCAGAGATATTTTTGCACCGTAATCTTGGATGCAAGATTTAAAAGATTTCTCCTGCGATGTTTTTCTCAAATTTGTTCTAATCTACTTTTTTTTTTTTTTTTTATCACAAACGCATGAATAATTAATTCGATCCGCGTCGAATTTAAATTTAACTTTCAAATCGTCGAAGAAAATTTCACGAACAACGCGAGAATTCTTCTTTTCGATTTTTCATAAGAGTAAGTCGAAGCAAGAAGAATAATCGAGGCAACGCTCCCCTTAAGGAGTGTTCACGACCCGCGATTTTAAAATCCAGTTGACGTATCGATAATTCAGAAAACGTATCGGTGGAACGTGTGGCAGTGACGTATCGCCATCTCGATCCCTCCACTGTCCTTGGTTAATGAGAACAAACGATTCCTCATATTTCAAGGAACAACCGAATCCCCGATTCTTCCATACCCTCTTTACTTTCGATTCTCCTCCTCTAGGACGCCGCGGAAAAGGAGAGAACAAGAACAAAATCCGAGTGACGTCAAGTACGGCTTGCTAATAGATATTAATGGAACCCCTTTCCCCGTCGAAATACGACCGTTTTTCCATGCGAACGAACAGCCGGCCATCTTCGTTGCCATCGAGTTCGTTGCCGGCGAGTGTGAATAAAAGAAGGGAACCGGAGGGAGAAAGTAGAATCGAAGGTAAAGAGGGAATATAAAACAAGTTTATATTGACGTCCTGGAAAACGTAGATATTAAATGGAAGCAATAACCTTCTAACAAACGCGATATAAAAAAAAAAAAGAAAAAGAAGAAAAGAAAGAGAAAAGAAAGAAAGAACGAAAGAATGACGTAAATTGGCGGAACGAAACCATACGACCTGGGTCGAACGCGAATTTTCAACGCGAATTTGCATAACGCGTAGTTATCGAATTTACGTTGCGCGTTTCGCATAATTGAGTCGACGCTCGCGCCGCCTACCTTTTCTTTGATCTGTTCGA